CTTCGGGATCCGCCGAGCCTCGTGCAGAGACCTGAGCAGCCACGGTAACGTCGGCTTCGTGGGGGGTTTCAGGCGAGTCTCCCCGCGCCCGCAGGTGCGTTTGAACCGGAGCCGAGAGTTGAATTTCATTCGTGTGGCCACCCACTCCGTTCCCAGGCCAGGGAGGGTCGTGTTGCTGCTATCAGTAGTCCTGCACTGGGGACGTTCCTGAAATTAAAACACGAGCCAACTTTAAAATGAGCGTTCGTAAGCTGACCTGGTCTGTGCTCCCAGTTTATTAGCAGCATTTGGTCTAATTTCAAAACCTTCTGGTGTTGCAAAATCAGGATGATAAACAGCTGAATCTGTTTTCTTTGTTGTAGCTTTTCGTTGTCCTTAATGTACTTTGATGTTTGTCTTGTTCTAGCAGACCTTTTTGGGCTGAGAGGCTAAGGTAAATGTTAGGCTTGGAGGAATTACTGTCGTAAAAAAGGAAAAAGATGTTTATATTCTTATCTAACATACCTATTCTAAAAATTGGTACATCTCTAATATCTATTAAAGTATAGCTTCTTCAGCATTGGCTTGTCCTCTTTCTTGTACTGCTTAAGAAGGTGAAACTAGCTGGGTCGGTTTTCAGTCTGTGACCATTTTTGACTGAATTTGGATTTGGGGTCTTCTGAAACGTGTGGAGGAATCTAGCGTGTGTTGAGTGTTCTGAACGTCCCTACTCACACACCACAACAAGTGTACAAGTTACCCTTTCAAAACACTTGCAAGCTTCCTCGTTGACTGGAGCAATCCTCTTATTCTGCTTGGAAGTTTAAATCATAACTGGTGAGCAAGATTGAAAATGAGATGAGAAATATAAAGTGATGAGCCTATAAATAGGGGTAATTAAACTACCGGTTGCTGCATCCCTGCATGCTACGGTTGTGACAGCTGAGACTCAGAACTGATTTAATCTCTCCTGCTCTTAAAAAGGTGATTAGAAAAGCCTAATCACGACATGGAAAAATGTATTGATTTTTTTATTTTCTCTCTTCAGTTTGATAAGAGAGAAATGTGCTAGCAGCGTATGACTTAAAAAACACAGATCCTGCTAACAAAAGGGAAAATAAGAATTGTAGCAAGGCTGTATTTCCTACCATGTATTAGCTTTCAACAAAAGGTTTCCTGCTTAGCCGATATCCCCTTAGTTTTATAAATGAGACCCCCGCTATTTCACTGGTCACTTTTCTGCCAACGTCTTCATCTTACTGTAAAGTAATAAGGGACTTGGAATGGTATGCTGCTGAAACCCCCAAATCAGAATCGCTGTAAGGAGTATTCCACGCATAGTGAGGACAGCTAGTTTAATTAGAGTGTGGGTTTATGTGTGCGTGTGTTGCTTTCTTGATTGTACTTAGTGGCTGTGATGTCCTTTGCTTGGGATAGCCTCTGCACCTGCTCATAATAGAAGGAAAGTAGAAAAAAACCCTCTAAAATGCATTCCATCCCTATAAAAGGAAGCATAAGAGAAAGTCCTCTATAGGGCTTATGTTACCAGTGCCAGTGTCTGCAGTCCCCTTTGCTCTCTCCTCCCGTTTTGGAAGGGATGTAGCCGCCAAGGTTCAAAAGCACATATGCGATGGCAGTACTTCAAATGAAGCGATCTTGATCACCGGTCCGGAACCATTTAACAGAGATCACTAACACCCCCATTTTTCTATTTGAGGTGACTGACAAATGCATCTTCCTACTCAAAGCCAAAAATACAGAGACGAGAGAGCAGGAGTACAAGTTACCATTAGAACAAAAGTTACATAAAGTGCAATAAACTCCATCGGTCTCCCAGATGCAGCTTGTCTTTTGCTACATTTACTTACTTTTTGCCATCTTCAGTAGGAGTATATGTATATGTGGGGGTGAGATTTTTGTTTTTAAACAATCTGTCGTCTTTTTCACCTCTCTTTCAAGTGCAAGCTATTTGTACTCCCTTCTGTTCATTAAATTACTGTTTTTCTGTTATTTTACATCATTGTAACAACTCGTGTATGGTTACTTCCAGATGCATTAGGGTTTAGGGTAAGATACTATATTAAAGTTTATGGCATGTCACCATGTAATACATCTGTGGGGCTGATTCAAATAATTTCTCCTTTGTATGTTTACACATTTTTTGGATGTAAACTCATAAACTTGCAAAGATATCTCTTGAATCCGGTGTGTGTTTAAAACTTACAGACTGTTCAAAATGTTGCTGCACTTTTGGTTGGTTGGTTGGTTGGTTTTTTGTTTCCTCCTAATGGAACTAAAATTCTGGAGGTGAAAGTGTGGTTAATATATTATCAGCTTCTGCAGACCAACCTGTCGTATTCTAAAATAGAGTATTTCATCTTCATTTCAGCCCAGGTACTGATGCTTGGGGAGTTTCTTTTGTGAGACTGGATCAAAACAGAACTTCTCTTGACCTTTGAGTAGTCATTAGATAAATGTAGCATTATTTATTAATTCATTCCCATTCGCTGTAATAACTTGGAAGTATTTTTTAATATATCTTTTCATGACCCGTGCTGCATAAGCTTGAATTTTTTCTTTTGTTGTTCATTTAAAGATAGGGTAGTAGTCACTAGATTTTCTTGGTGCAAGCAGAATATCCTTAACTAGAAAAAAAGCAAGAGTAACAAGAAGAATCATTTACTTCTGAAATGGAATTGGTACATAAGTAATCCTAATTCCCATTTGGATGGCTTGCTAGAGATTTGGATATTCTAGACTCTCTAAAACTCTCCAGAATGTTTCCATGCGAGCCTGTGCCTGAAGAGAATAGGCTGGATAAGGCCTTGATAGGAATATTGTCAGTTTTTCAGTATTGAAGGAATTGCTGAAACAATTGAAGTAATAACCTTAAATTTAGACATGTACTCCTAGATTTTGCTGTTTTAGCAATTTAGTGTGAAATGCTGACTGTATGAGGAATGATCAGAAATGCTATGCAATTTTTCTTAGATATAACACTCTTCTATCTGTAACGGGATTGCTTGCGGAGTCTTTTGCCTTAATGTTTTGCTTTACGTTGGAGAAACTAAGAACCTCATGTACAAAGAGGAGTAGCTTGTGTTCTTTCTGCAGATACGGATGCGCATTTTCACTTGTGCCCTGCGTAGCATCTGATTTATGGCAACTCTGAAAAATAAAGGCGATCTTTTAATTGCCAAACACAAGTCTGACAAAGCCACTAAAACAGTTCGTAGTTGCTGTGTTCACATCTCTGTCCCTGGGCCGTGTGGTGGTTTGGGGTTTGTTTTTTAAGTTTGTCTTCTAAACCTGTGCCTCATTAAAAACTCTTTTCATCCAGAACACACAGATACAGTTTAGCACTGCAAGAGTGCAATAAAAATCCTCAGTTACAGATAAGAGGAAACGCAGATGTGTTAACTGAATGGCTAAGAATAAGTCTCTCAAAAGTTAATGCCATAGGTGGGGACGCTGAGCTTCTTCGATATAGACCATATACAGCTCTCCTTTGGCAGGGCACTCCATTAGTCACTCAGAAGGCTGTTTGTGGGTGGTGAACATCAATATGAGATTCCTCGGTGTTTGTATTTAAGCGGGTTATATTCAGACCGGAGAAATAGCCGTGGTAGTCAGAAGGCAGAGCGGCGCTCTTGTGCCTGGCAGCGCTCAGCACCACGGTCTCTTGAGGAGCGTGGAAGAAGACCGGGCAACTGAATAGATTGTCCATAAGTGAAGTTCCTTCCTGACCCCTATCAGCTGGTGGTCAGCCTGTGCCCTAAAGCATGAGGTTTTGTTCAATTTTTAACCTGTAAAGTGTTGTCAAGTGTCACTTTGGATGTTTTTTGTTTATTTTTATGTATTTTTTCTGGTTGTATTTCAGTCTCTGTGTGTATCCTGTCTTCCAGGAGTAAGGAAACTGCATGACTTGTGGTCTCTGTTTATATTGTAGACCTTTCTTTGATATAATTTCAATCCAAGCAGTCTGAATATGTATAGGTATATACATACAAAGCATGTCTTACCAATATGTAAAATTGCAATGTAATATGAAATGAACAATTTATACTTTCTGCTGAGATAGATATTCTTACTAATTTAGGAACAAACTTGAGTACTTTCTGGTTTTGAAACTGTTGGATGGTTCTGTTTAGTCTTGTCATGTCAGTTAACTCTGAAAACCATAAGATCTTCTATTTATTTATTAACACTATTGATTTTTAACCTTTTATAGATGGTTTCATCCAAATATTACTGGGGTGGAGGCAGAAAACCTACTGTTAACAAGAGGAGTTGATGGCAGTTTTTTGGCACGACCCAGCAAAAGTAACCCAGGAGACTTCACACTCTCCGTTAGGTAAGTTTAAATGTTTTTTTTAATCTTTCGCCCCAAATTGTTAAGAGTCTGTGTTTGGTGCTGTCCTGTGGGGAAGGAGTTGTAAACAAACTACTTGCAAGAGGTGAAAGAATGCATGGATCACTTTTTGGTCTGTTGATCACTTTTTTCCCTCTTTTTTCTCTTTCTTTTTCTTTTTTCACTCCTGTTTTCCATGAAGAGGTTCTCAAATACTTTTACTTAACTTGGGGACGCTGTAGGTTGAAGGGGTGGTGAATTCTGATTCTGCAGACAGAAACAGTTAAGGGTAAGCAGAAGTAGGTTAATGATAGCATTCCTTTTAGCCCTTTAGAAATCTATTTGATAACCATCTGAAAGTGGCAGAGATGATACAAATTACTGATCAAGCATGTGCAAGGAAATGCTCTCCAGACTGTCTTCTTACAGGAAAAGTCAGCAAGTTTTTAAGGGCAGCTGCAGTGCTCTTTTGGCTTCCAAAATAGGCCTTTTGTAACACTTGTCCCCTGACACTGTGTGTGTAGTGGTAGGAGTGGGGAAAGGATGGCAAGAGGAAGTAGATAAAGGAAAAGGGAAAAGTGGGATTGGTGATAAGAATAATGCTGCTTGGATACCTTTGAGATAACAGGCCCTGTGGAACAGAAGGGGACTCTGTCAGACAGAGAGCTGTTCTTCGTTCACGTTAGAGACTGTGGGAGCAAGTGACTTACAGCAGGCAAAGGCAACTGTTTACTGAAGGACAGATCTTAGCACTTAGTGTGAAATACTAGGGAAAGGAGCAAACAAGCTCTGATGCGTGTCTTGAGAATGCTGAATTCTCTCTTCACCCCTCCACCCCTTTGACTTGTGAGTGCAATTCTTGAGGGTCTGAGGGGTTTCTGCTGGAGATCATGGGGCCAGCTTACGCTGCCTTCATTACAGATTTAAGTTTAATTTTTTTTCCCTATTCTTCCTGACTGTTGGACAGCCACTTCCCCTTCTTGCAAGCCACTGAAATGTGGCTGAAGCACACTTCAGCGGTGCACTAGCTTAGCTATTCTGCAATATTTCAGTTGTAAAGTGATGCAAACATAAGTATGGATTTCTCTAACTCGGACAATAGAACACTGAATATAAAACTGATTGATTGGAAATCAGCTGACTTGTGTGGTTTTGGTTTTTTCCCCCTTTGTTTCAAATATTAGACGAACTGGAGCTGTCACCCACATCAAGATCCAGAACACAGGAGACTACTATGACCTCTATGGAGGAGAGAAGTTTGCTACCTTGGCTGAGTTAGTCCAGTATTACATGGAACATCATGGACAGCTCAAGGAAAAGAATGGAGATGTTATAGAGTTGAAATATCCACTGAACTGTGCTGATCCTACGTCTGAAAGGTCAGAGAAATAGCGGTGAAAACCTCAATGTCCATGAGTTTCTTAATAAATACATGTTTTATCCCTATTAACAGTACAGCCAGCTTCCATTGATGAAAGGGTGGCCACCATCTTATAGTAAAAGTGGCCTCACTGATTTCAGTGAGACTACTTCCAAAGTAGACTAATAGACATGAGTAAAGGTAGAACAATCTAAGCCCCAGAACCTATTTTCTTCAGCATTTTCCTGCTGTGATACAATACTAAAAAAGAGAGCGTAGTTCCCTTTGGGAGAATGTTGTATTGTAGAAGTTCTCCTAAAGCTTCCTGAAGCTGTTACTACTGCAAAGAATTCCCAGGTATGTTTCTGGGCATAAGTTTATACAATTTTTCCAGCAGTGGGCATATGTGTAAGAAAGTGAATGACGTGCAAATCCTCAAATTGCTCAAACTCGTGTTTTTAGGAGCATGGCTAAGAAGGAGAATCTGAGACTTTAGACCTGACGTATACTTCCTCAGTATATGTATGTTGAAATAAACCTCTGTGGCCAGTAGATATTAGTTTATTTTCAGAAGTGAAAAAACAAGGAAAAATATTAAAACAAGTTCTCTCACTCCTCAGAATGGCCTGTATTTAACAGTAGTGGGGAGGTTTACTGCCTTTTTGGCCATATTTCTTGAAGAAATTAGATTGATGTGATGATCCTGTCCAGTTCCTAATGTGATGGAAGGGTAAGGTCTCAAAGATGCTAAGTTCCCACAGGTTTATCAAGAACGGGCATCCCGATAAGGAAATAAAAGAAGAATAAATGCCTCAGCTGAGTAAAAGGTTGCAATGTAAGCTCGTGTTTATTGCACACCAGGGAATGCGTTTGGGCTGTTGTAAAGATTCCAAATCAAAGCTTCATTTGAAGCTTGCATGAAACACAAATTTTGGTGCTTATGGAAGTGCTTGCTTTGAAGCGTTCCTGTAATCGCTCATGTGTATGTACACGTACACTTCCAGATTCCAAATCAAAGCTTCATTTGAAGCTTGCATGAAACACAAATTTTGGTGCTTATGGAAGTGCTCGCTTTGAAGCGTTCCTGTAATCACTCGTGTATGTACACATACACTTCCAAGGCTTATTTTGATTTTTATTTTTATATGCTGTGAGGCTTTCTGTGGACCTGGACATTGTTGTTCAGTGTACATAAGCGTTTTACTTTATAATAATATATTCAGAACAAGTGGATTCAGCCATGGCTCAAATGACAAGTAGGGTACCTGTCTATATCTTACTTTATTTAAAGGTGGTTTCATGGGCATCTCTCTGGAAGAGAAGCAGAAAAACTATTAACAGAAAAAGGAAAACATGGAAGCTTTCTCGTGCGTGAGAGTCAAAGCCACCCTGGGGACTTTGTTCTTTCTGTCCGGACAGGAGATGATAAAGGAGAGAGTAATGATGGGAAATCTAAAGTGACACATGTCATGATTCACTGCCAGGTATGACGAAGCACGAGCTGCTTTAACAGGGCTGCTTCCATGGGCCGTGGGTTTATTCTAACGGGAGGGCCATCCTCACTTCAGTACAGAGGGCTGAATACATTTCCCCTTTCCCTGTACTGTATGTGCTATATGTCATCTGTTTGATCAAATTGCCTAATTTGATAGCATCAGAATTTTATTAGGCTTTTTTTTGACTGCTTGTGTGACTGAATCATGTCATACTATACTATGCTGTCAAGCACCTTCTAATAGATTTGCTTTTGATTGCATCAGAAGTCTGTCTCAAATCTGCTGCTGAGTCTTTCATGTTCATGAATCTTCCGAAGTGAGTTGCAGTCTCCTGGATAAATTGTATAAAAATATGAGTGATTGGACAAATAGAGATCCATCTGAGTATATCTGTTTCTCCTGTCAGTTTATAAAGTTGCACCTGATAGATGATAAACATTCTGAAAATTTTGAGTATTGAATCCAAGTAACACTTTCAAATCTAAAGCTTGAATCTAATATAGGGTAGTTCTTCACTGAAGTATTATTAAGTTACAGTCTTTTGACGTTTTCATATATGCCCATGGGTTGCTATTAAAACAAAAACCCACAGATTTTTTCATTTTCTTTTTCTTCTGTTATCCTAGAAGACAGTGCAACAACTTAATTCTTTAAAAAATAAAATGCAATGACAGAAATAGTTTGGAGATAGAAATGGCCTACCAAGAGTGTAAAAGCTAAACTACCAGATTTTTTTTTTCAATTTTTTTTTTTTCAAGAAAACCTCTTTGATTTGCAGTTAAACACTAGTAGCATTTACAACATTGAGGAAAATAACTTAGCACTGCTTCTTTAAAATAGGGATGGTACCAGTCAATACCAGCCTTTCAGGACCCACTGATCCTCTTTTAGGAGTTTGAATTGATTTCCAAAGATATCTCCTGGATTCTAATGGTGTAGCTCAGGTAGCCTGCTTGAGCTGACTGAACCTCAGTTCCGAAGGAATTGGCTTTCCTGAAAAGGCAAATAAAATGATTTTCAATTAGATGACAAAAAGGATAATGTCCTGCATAGTGTGTGTTTCTTTTTATTAAGGTTCTACCATCCCTTAGCAGAAGGATTTTGCTGGATTCTTCTACATAAAGTTTTGAAGAGAATTTCTCTCGTGTTGCTTAGCCTAAAGATGATATTAGTGTAGACTTCATTGTACGGAGTGTGTTTATTTTGATGAGCATCTGTCTTTCAAGGATCTAAAATACGATGTTGGTGGAGGGGAGAAATTTGACTCTCTGACAGATCTAGTGGAACATTACAAGAAGAACCCTATGGTAGAAACTTTGGGCACAGTATTGCAACTCAAGCAGGTGAGTGAATGGAGAAGGCACCACTAAGCTTTGTTACCTTCAGCATATTCTGTTGAAGTGCAGGCTTTTCCATATGTTCTGTGAGACATAATTTTTTTTTTTCTTCTCTAATGCAAAAAGCGAAGTATTAAACTTCATGCAACGGAATGACACAGGCAGCCATTTAAATGGGAGCAATTTTTTTTGTGCCTGTGAAGGGATAAGATTCTTGTGTCTCTGATGCATACAGATCTTCTCTCGGTTTCATCGTGGTCCATAGGGATTGCAGGACTAGTCCAGAAATGAGGCAACTGAATGTATTGAAGAACAACCGTGAGACTTGATCTAAAAGCAATTGTTCCCTGCCTCCTTCCTCTCTACCCTCACTGCCCTTCATTGTATGAATTGTAAAGTTTTGAAGTCCAAACAGATACCTGGATCCTAGAATTGCCTATATAAAATATACTTAGTGTAGGGGATTTGTGTTTTAACTGTCTTCTTACAGTTGTCATTTGTTATACCTTTAATATTTGTATCTTTCTTAGCCACTGAATACTACCCGTATTAATGCTGCAGAGATTGAAAGCAGAGTGCGAGAGCTAAGCAAGCTAGCAGAGACCACAGATAAGGTCAAGCAGGGCTTCTGGGAAGAATTTGAGGTACTTCATTACATTCCAAGTGTTATGGTATTAAATCTTTACACTATTAAAAAGTTAGGTTTGTTACTGCCTTCCTGACATTTTCTCATCTCCTCCTCCGCTGCTTCAGATCCCTGTTCTTGCTCCCATCTCCTGCTCCTATACCCTGTGCTTTCTGTTGCCTGTCTTGGTGTAGAGGATGTTTCGGTGTGCGCTCTGCTGCTCTGGTTGGGAGGTTGGGTACCAGTGCTTTACAGAAACTTCAGTGAGATTTCTCAGTCAATATGCCCTTGAGTTTGTGGCTTTTCGATAGCTGTTTTTGGGAGAATTGTAAAACTATTGTAAAGTGGTAGTGGTAGCAAGCTCCGAGATGAAGCAGCGTTGATTATATGTATTTCTTGGACTCCTGGAGATCTATTTTTGGTTTTTTTCAGTGTTTCATTTCTGCCTGCAGCCAAAATTCCATTTCCCTCCCAGAAAGTAGGATTGCCTTTTCCTTCTGTCTTACACACACAAGAGGCGTGCGGGTAACATAGCTGTGCTGGCCCAGTTCTCCCCTTCTTTAAAGTCCTAATGAAAAGGGGGCTACTTTGAAAGAAAATACAGCTGAAACTGCTAATTTCTGAAGTAAAGCAAATTAAGTTTGAGCGTTAACTAGTGCATTCCAAGCTACTTGAGTCTAGCCTGGCTCCTAACCCTTCTCTGACAACTGGAGTCACTTAACAGCTGCATGCGCGGGATGGCCATAGCCAAAAGCTTGGAAGTGTCTTAAATATAATGGGCTGGTTTATGCCGCACACACGTGAAGAAAAACACAGTGGAGTCTGGAACTCTACCAGCAGATGGCAACAGGAAACTGGAAAGTCCTCATCTCTGAAAGAAGCTGGTCTGTGCTGTGTAATGCTATTTTGAGAAACTTGAATAGTGATGGATTCGCAAAGCAACCATTCTTGAAGAACCTCTTTTTTGATCTGACATGTTAAGTAGTTGAATGTACTGCCCAGTCTGCTCCGAGATTATTGTCAGGAGGAGAAAAATAAATCCATAAGAAGCAAAAGGCTCTTACCAAAGAGGTAACATGTTTCACTATGACTGTGGATGGAATATAAGAAGGTGAGGTCGTGGCAGTGGGGAAATCATAAAATGAGGATTAATTAATGTTCCCCTGACAGTTGAGTGGTGGATCCCCTGGGGAGCAGTTCTCATCTATCGTTTGTGAACCTTGCCTGGAGGTAAACTGGCCTCAACCTGTGAATTGCTGCTCTTGCAGAGTTCAACATGTGAACTTTGATATGGGGCCTGAAGGATCAGGATGATTAGCCACACCTGCTCTAATGGCTAAAATTTGCATGTGGGAATTAGCTGCTTTTCCCAAAGCCTGATCAGTGGTGTGCTTTATCTCATCATGACAGAGTCCTGTAGGTTGTGCCTGTGATCACTGTGTGGTTTAGCCTGAACATATATTTTCATGTTAGCCAAGCAGAGGGTGTCTGTTGGCTTCCCTGGAGACTCTAAGCACACTGTAACTCTGATTCAGAGAGCATAAAAAGGCAAAAGTGTGCCCTCTTGGCTTGCCCTTCTTGTAATTGGTGCTATGTGAATTAATGTTTGTTTGTTTTCTTGAGGGAAGCGCTCTTGTGCGGTGCATTTAGGAATGGATTGTGGGTTTGTCAAAATATGGCCGACCTATTACTCAACACTTATGACTTCTTCTCTGATTTCTAGTCTTCGTTGAATAAAATTGTCTCCTAATGGATTTATCAGTTGGTCTTTCAAAGCAAGGTGTTTCTCTGTCTTGTGACTTTCCTGAAGAAGAGTATTTGCTAGCAAGCCAGAAGTCTTGCAGAAAAAGTAAACATGAGAAATGAAAGATTTTACCTGTGAGACATTCCACTTCTCTTTCCCCTTCACTGCTGTTAGTGAGGTCAACGCTCAACCTTATTTTTTCCTACTGTGTTTTTGGGACTGAAGCAATCTCATAGCAGTTTGTGTCATGCTTTTTCATTCACCTCAGGTAGGCTATAGCTGTCAGCTTTGGTGGCAGGAGGTGGGGGGGCAAACTCCAGGTTGCCCATGGATCTCTGTTTATGATTTGGCAGTCCAGATGGTAGTTATAAATTACTTGTCTTCAGGCGTATTTAAGAATGTACCTCTTGTCCCGCAAACCACTAGACAGAAATGTTGACAGTCCTTGTAATGTTCCTGCTTCTGAAAAATGGCTGTTTGGTGAGCTTAATGCTTGGATGTTGTAGTGAAATTGAGGACAATGTTTCAGATTTATTGTTGCGTTGTGTACATCTCTTAATGGGCTTGTTAGAAGTCGCTGCTGCTTGTGGATCTCTCCTCAGGGATGTGCAAAGCAATAATAATTAACTGTATGAAGTGAAGATGTGTTTGAAGCTATGGTTTCCGCACGCTTAATTGCTTCCATTTTTTAACTGCTAGCAAAGTTTAGCTTTTGGTTCTTTTTCTTGGCGTCTCACTTGGCGGAGACTCAAAAGTGTTAATATTATATAAAGGTGCTCTGTGATAGTGACACTTCAAAGTCTCTTGCAGTGTGGCAAGAGGTGAGCTTACTGCAAAGTGCGGTTTCACCCGGCGCTAGTGGTACCAAGCAATGCTTTATGGGGATATGTTCTCTGTCTTTGCCTCAAAACCATGAAACCTCACAGCTCTCCTGTATTGCTTTTGTTCTTTGGTTTCTCTGTCTTTAGGATGAGCCTAATTGTTCAAGGTCACTAAGTGAGGCACTAACAATAACAGAGACTGAAATAGAAGTGAGCAAATGTGCCTGATGTGCCCAAGCTTTAAAGTAAAAGCAATCTCTGCAAGAATATTAAGGGTGGTAATAACAAGGGGAGCAGCTTCCAAAGCCTGAGTGTTCATTTTAGTCAGGCCAGTGCTGCTTTTGGGATTAAAACTTGGAACAAAGACATGGAGATTCTGGTCCTTCCAGCTTCATTGCAAGTAGGGAGGTTTGCTGCTAAGCAGCATGGCTGTGAAGTGTGGAATTGCTGTTGTCCTTGTCATATTAATTATGAACCAGGCACTGAGAAATTAGCTCCTTGCCAACAGGAGAAATCCCCATGCAGATTTATTGTTTCTGCACTGGGACGATTTATAGATAACCCTGCTTGTAGTTACCACCCTGTACCCCCAACAGGGTAATGTGAGAAAGTCTGTGCAAAATTTTGTGCTGGTTTAGTGAAATGGCCTTGTGTTGGTAGGAGAGAGTAATTAGAACACTTAACAAGTGTTACGTGGCTGTGGTGATGGGTCGTACAACAGCATTTTACCTGTCTCATCCTTACCTTTGAAAATACTGTAGCATTCCCATGTGGACTTTTGTTTGGGGGAAAGAGACAAGAACACTGTCCTGATATTCTGCTTCTAACCACTGAAGGACTTTTCACTGTGCTTGATGTTTAAATACAGTCGCTTGTGTTGATGCGTTGCTCTGGGTTTTCTGTGTGCTCCTTCCTCCTCTTTGGCTGTCTAGAGTTGGTCCGGCTGCAGCTTGCAAGGATCCGCTCTTGGGGTGTTGATGTAACACAGCCTTCGTATACTCCAGGACTTGTTTGGGGGTTTTCCAGCAGTTTTACTACAGACTGGCTGTAGCTCAAGGAGCAGAAGGCGGCTGGTAAGACCTAGAGGAGTCCCCTGTACAGCTTAGGTAGAGAAGCACCGGATCACAAAGTGCCTTAATCCTTTGCAGGTTGGCGATGTTTTGAATGCATTAGTTACTGATCTTTATTGGTACTAAAGCTAATGCCAGTTCAGTGGAAATTTTTTAACTCCTTACCTGCCTGATTCAGCAAAAAGGAGAAATGTGATAGTACTCCTAACTTTTATGCTTGATGAGAAAGACCTAGCGATAAATGTGTTTATTTGAACCTGCTCTGTAGAATGCTGCTTGTTTGGTTTGTTTAGCGTTTAGTGTTGTTTAGTGGTTTATTTAGCGTTTAGTGTTGTTTAGTTTATTATCTTTTAAGATGCCGAGATTTCCACAGACAAAATTTTGTTGTGGTCCCTTGTAACCAGTTATGGTTTCTGTTTTCCTTGCACAGTGTTTTACAGCTAAAAGCTTTAAGGGACCAACTTGTGTCCGCTTGGTCAGAACAGTATCATGAGGACTTGCTGGTTATAGTTTGTCGTTTGAAGCAGCTTTGAATTCATAGGTGTTTATCAGGTGGAAAATAGCTTGCCTTGTCACTCATGCTCCTGTGTTTCTTATACACCCTAGATGCAATACTCTACTGAGTCTGAATGGAGAAATCCAGTATATCTCTCTCTATCTGGCATTATGATTGAATGTCATCATTTTTGTGAGAAAGGATCGCTATAACAATGGTGAAACAGCTCATACCGCTCTTACTAACACCAGTTATTTGTGCTGTTTTCATTTAGACTTTACAGCAGCAAGAATGCAAACTTCTCTATAGTCGTAAAGAAGGTCAGCGTCAAGAAAACAAAAACAAAAATAGATACAAAAACATTTTACCCTGTAAGTATTGATTTATTACATTATATTGTAAGCCTGCTACTTTTCTATTCTTTATTTTCTTAGCTCATAAGCACAGGGTTAACTAAGGACCACTGTGTGTTCTCTTCCCTTTAGTGATAATTTTCTCTCTTTTATGTTGTCAGTATTAGCCCATGCAATTTCCAATTTGTGTTCAAACGTTTGCACTTTGTAGATACTGATAATTCGATTCCCAAATACTGTTTTTTATCTTCAGCTTTCATTTCAAAGCGTCACATCCCTAAACTGTTATTCAGCAAACTGGAATGCTTAAATTTAAGAGGATTATTTTGTGGTACAAAACTACACGGTGCAAATCCAGGGGCTGTTTGCCTTGACTGTCCGTGTACCCATGAGTTATTAGGGGGCATGAATGCTTGTTTTGATCTAGCTTGTTATGAATCGGCCACTCGTTTTAAGAAATGACAAAAGAGGAAAGGTTGAATATTCTAGCCACTAATTTACTGAGGTTGATAACTTAATAGCTTCTGGTAGCTGTAAGAAATGTGCCTGTCTGTGGGATATTTAAAAATAGCTGTGTGTTCACAACTGTAGGATGCGAGCGCTTAACATACCTATACCTTCTTCCAGTTGATCATACCAGAGTTGTTCTACATGACGGTGATCCGAATGAACCTGTTTCAGACTATATCAATGCTAATATTATTATGGTAAGTATACTCCTACCTATGGGAGTCTTGTTGGCACAGCCCCTGTCTACTCTTTAACATACTCACCTAATCCAACTTAGTCTTGTAACCATTTGTCACTGTTTGTTAATTTTTTTTTTTTCTCTAGCCTGAGTTTGAAACCAAGTGCAACAACTCAAAGCCAAAAAAAAGCTACATCGCTACTCAAGGTTGCCTCCAGAATACAGTGAATGACTTTTGGAGGATGGTGTTCCAGGAGAATTCTCGAGTTATTGTTATGACAACAAAAGAAGTTGAAAGAGGAAAGGTAAAAACAGACTCTCAAACTTGCCTTGGGAAAGAAAGGTCATGATGTTTGAATGCAAGTAAGGACTAAACTGACTTGGTTATATCAATTTATGTGCTGAAGTCTGGTGTGCCACCACTGTCTTTTGGAGACCTGGAAGATGCTGAGTGTCCTTTTTTATTGATGCCTGTGGGAATTGAGAGTACACTCCTATCCTATCGTCATCAGACCTCCCTTTTTTAAGGGCTGACTGATTAAATTTTAGCTCCTGAATGTGAATCTATGTATTTTAAAATTATTCAGGGAACGAGGCACTGGAATGCGAGATGTAGCCAAACAGGCATTCTCTGTACTTGAAGGGGCAAAGTCCCTGTTCCTGTAACAAAAGTATTGTCATTTATTTTAGCTTACTAAGCTTGTATAGGCTTTTCTGGAAAAGCAGAATTGTGGGACTTCACAAGAAGGAATTTCAATGATACTGCTTCCTACCTAAAAGCTACAATATAATGTGAAAGTTATTGCCCTGAATTCACCTCGTTCAAGTCACGTTTACTAGAATGCTGTTCTCTCTTCTGGCTTTACTTTCTATGCTTGAATTTGTTAACATTCTTATTACGTGCTGAGCTAGTGATTACGAATGAAACTGCACCTGGTTAGGAATCCCTCAGCCAGGCATGATTTAGCACTTTTATTCCTAAAGACAGGTCCTTTGCCTTTCACTGCCCTGTTCTGCATGAGCACAGCTGCCTGGTCAGCCCCTTTAAATACTGCCAGAGCAGTTCACAATGCTCTGAAAGAGGAAATTTTCCTGCAATGGTGTATACCAAGAACTTCCATTTTACCTTTAAAGTACAGAGATCTTGTCTTATTCACAGTCTTCTGGCAAAACTGAGGCTATTACTTTGTTTCTGGCTTCTAATGGCGTATGGCAGGAAAGAATAGGAAATAGTTGAATACGGATATTCTGGAAACAGTCACATCCCGCTTCCTGTGTATAGTATAGTTTTATCTTTGGAATGTGCTGCTTCTGATCTTTTTTTCTGTTTGGTAAACAGTTTCTCTTGGGTTTTTTGCTTTGTTTCAAAGTTTTTCTGCTTTTTCCACGTACGATTGTCCACCTTTTTCACTAACCTGATGGTCTGTTTCTGCATGGACAGCTGTTATGTAGTTAGATGAGCGTCACTTCTGAAAAAAAATTGAGTTAAATGTGTAGCTAATGTTTTTCTGTGGGTGACAATAATTGCGGGGGTTCCTTACCACTGCCACAAAACAAGACCTTTGTGTGTGTATACTGAAGACAAATAGCAGTAGACTTTATGGGCTTCTCTTCCTAATCTAGGTATTAAAGCTGCCATTGGTCGTGTCTGTAGAAACCATTAGAGACTGTTCTGTGAAATTTTGTAGGGGCTTTGTAAACTTCTGTCCATTCATCACCCTTATAAAGGGGCATGATTTGTGTCCTTCCTGAAAATGCATGGAAAGAGGGAGAAGCTAATCCCTTCCAGTGACCTTCCTCTTATATCTTTCTCTTGGAAGAAGAGAAATAAATTACGGGGTTGCTTTGGAAGAGGTGACTGGCATACGCTACTTTTTTTGATAACCTACTGAATGGCCTGTGCTCCGCTGCAGTTTCTCCATGATTCTTTCCAAATTTTGCTAAGACTCTTTTCTGTGCTCTGGTCGTATAAAACATTCTAATGTCCAATTACTTAATCAGTGCTGCATGCATTGATTTTTTAATCCCCCCCCCCCGCCCATTGATGCCTATTTCACTTCTTCAAGAATTGCAAACAACAGCCCTGATATAAAAGCTTTTTATCTCGGGCCAAGATGCGTTTAGATATGCAGAAAGAAGAGAAACCTTTACATCAGAGATGACTTCAAGAGCACGTTGCCTAAGGAAGTGAGGAACTATGAAACATCTCAGATCTGCACAGAGTTCTGAATATGCTTTAGAATGCACTGTAGGAGCAGCTAATACAAATTAAAATAGTGGTGCTTTGGAGGCTGTCCATTGAGCCGATAATACATGCATCGCCTCTACCAGACTAAAGCTTATTTTAACATTGGGTGTTACTGTTCAGACTTGCTATACTAACGGCTCTTGTGTTCAGAGTTCTGTATTGAAACTGCAAGTTACATTGGCATACGCTAAGATCAACATCTTTTCTTTATTTAGCTTGTGCCCTTTTGGAGAAGGCAGGGAAAGAAGGGCAAAAGTAACAAAAAAGCGTCTTGTTGCCTAAGTAGGCTGGAAAGTATGTGTTCAGTCATCTCTTACTGTGTCTTGTGCTGGCAGAAGGAACTTTCTTGTTGCCATGTTTTCTCATAAATATGCAGTAGTAACTGCAAATAGGAAATTATTCTTCATAGTACTTGTGTTTGGTCTGTGTTTTCTGTTGCTGGAAGCTGCATCTATATATGCATTACAAGTCCGCACAATGTCAAATTGGAATTACGTTGCATTCACAGGCTAACAGGAGTTGCTCTTTCCTGAACTGTCACAGGAACCAAATCGAAGTAGCAATAGGAGAACTCATTCTTCAGTGGGTGGAATATATCCCTGGCCAAAGATGAGAGAAAAGCAGCAAACCAAAAGCTCTAAATTTCCAAAGTTACAGACACGTGAGACTTCAGTCCCTTGCCACAGGGAACGATTCTTTGTTCCTTTGGTGATTCAATTGGAGAGCTATGTTAGTCCTTTATGCTCTAAGTGATGAAAAAGCAAGCATCCAAGTCTCATTTCTGCTAAATATGGTGTCTACCTTTGACTTGTATTTATTTTGCAGCCTGTTGGGTTTTGATTGTAGAGTAGCCTGTAAGGCTACAGCATTCCACTGAAAATTCTCAGTGTTTGGAAACCCATAGTTGGGTGGAGATACAAGTAACAGTATTTTAATGTCTGGGTTTTGAAACTATTGAGGCCAAGCAGGTACGAAGATGATCATGAAAGCTGCTAAAAGGAGAGATTGCCTGTACCTGTTTGTCTGAAATCAGCCAGTGTTTGTTATGGGGAAGAGAAACTTCCCCCTAAAATGTACTTTGCCTTGTCAGCTGGCTCTCCAGTTGGCGCTAGTAACCATCCTCTGTGTATTCAGAAATGAAAGCTTCAGAAATGTGTTTGTTAACTGGGTTACGAACCAGCCTTTCTTCTTGCTGATTACTCCTTTTTTTTATTTTTATTTTTTCTGAATCTTGCAGAGTAAGTGCGTCAAGTACTGGCCTGATGAGTATTCCCTAAAGGAGTATGGCGTTATGCGCGTTAGGAATGTTAAGGAGAGTGCAGCACACGATTACACGCTAAGAGAACTTAAGCTTTCTAAAGTTGGGCAAGTAAGTACGTTAGTAACTCTGTCCTTTTAATTTAGATTGCAGATCACAAAAAAAAAAAAGCAGAAATAGACTGTTTCTTTGGAATCAATAAAAGCACTAAGAGATTAATAAATTGAACCCTGTCTCTTTCTTTGAAACTCCAGGTTTAGTTCCGTACATCTTTCTCTTTGTCCTTGGGATATTTGAAGGTTCTTATACTTAAGCACTTCTTGGCAGAAGATGCATGGCTGCAGAGCTTTGAGGGTATCTGGAAAGAGGGACGATGCTTTTAAGTCATCGCACTTTAGCTAGGCATTTGCTCCCTTTCATGGAGATGGTTGTGCTAGAAGAAAATAGTTGTGTGAGGGTCGTGAGGGTCCAGTGTGTAGAAGGAATGCTTAAGGGAAGGAACAAGGAAGGAAACAGTGATGTAGTGTGGAAATAGCACTTCCTTGTTAAGGAGCAGTTTGGATCAGGGTGTAAAACTAGTTGTGTAAGAAGCAAATAAGCAGGATGTATTAGATTGGTATGTCCATGGGATGGAACTGAGTGGGAAGAAATGCATGAGGTAAGTGCCACTAGGTATGAATGATGAGTATGATGATGAATCATACTCGTGGTCACCCTCAGAGAGAACTTTGCCATGGCTTCTAAAGGTGAAGATGGAAATGTTCTTGGGAACAACTGCATGAGAAAGAGGGAGCTGAGGAAGCAGGTGGTGTGATTGACTTGCCAGGCCAGGAAGAACTCTGGCTTGTTCCCTCCTTTGAGAGTTGTGGTGCCATGGATACTGAGCAGCGGGTTGGATATGCTGCTTTCCAATCTGACTCAACTTTGCCACTTAAATGCTTTTAGCTAGATTTTGATCTGAAGGATTTTATTTTCACATGTTGGCATCTTCCTTCCAGGGGAACACAGAGAGAACAGTCTGGCAATATCACTTCAGAACTTGGCCTGATCATGGAGTCCCAAGTGACCCTGGTGGTGTTCTAGACTTTCTTGAGGAGGTGCACCATAAGCAGGAGAGCATTTCTGATGCAGGACCAGTCGTGGTCCACTGCAGGTATGGTGATGCACTCTGCCTGTCCTGCTGCTACTACTGCTCTCTATGCCTGTGGAGTTCTGTTGGATCCCCTTTTTTTTTTTCCTTTCTCTCTTTTTTTTTTTTTTTTTTTTGGTGGGAGGAGCTGAAAACTTTAAAAGACGACAATTTTCCCTGAGAGCTACTCAGATTTTCATCTGTCAAGGTGTTTGTGCATTCTGTTTTGCAAAATGATATATTCTAGATAGGTGTCACCTTTGAAGCAGGCTGTCTTTCAGAGCGTGCGTGTCTGTATAAATAAATATTTCTGATGTATGTGAAGGTGGTACCAGTCTTGGCTAGATACGTGTCAGGTGCAGGATCGTGGAAAGTCTAGTATCCCATCCCAACTCTTGTGAGTTCTCCCTGCTCAGTCTTGGCTTATAAATGAGATAACTCTTAGAAGGCAAGGAAACGTTAGATCTGACCTTGTAGGTTTTCTCTGATTCAAGGATGTTAATAAATGCTGAGGTACAGAAAGTGCTGTTATGACTTCTGTCTCTTCCATGTGAAGTTGATTAGGTCTCTAGTTAACGTTTGGCTGTGTGGCTTGGTTTGACTGGCTATAATTCAGAAGTCTGATGTCTCTTAATGTGAGACTCTTGGACTAGTGTTTTGGTGTCTGTTCAGAAAGAGCAAAACAATTAACTTTTTCTTCTTCCTTTTCTTTTTACAGTGCTGGGATTGGGCGAACAGGAACTTTCATTGTGATTGATATTCTTATTGACATAATCAGAGAAAAAGGTAGGTTCCCCCCACTTCCACTTTCCTGTGGGACATTGACGGATACATCACAGTAAAACAACAGGAGTGGTGATAGAATAGAGGGATTCTAGTGATGCTACAAAGTAGGTGTGTGTGTTTGGCATAGAAGGGACTTGCTCATTCCTCTTGACATAGCTGGAATCAAAGTGCTGAAATGCTGCTCCAGCTCAGCATAATGAAAACTCTCAGCTGAGGATTAGCCAGGAGTCTGATTATGTTTTTCTTATTATTATTTTTATTATTTATTGTTCTATTTTTCTTCTAAAATCATTCATGAGTGTGTGGCTGTCAATGTACTCATGCATGCCGAATCTGAGTCACTTGTTTTCAGACATCAGTGTTGTATTTATGTATAAACTGCCTTAAACAGTGGCTCGGCAGTTGGTTTAAAGTCATCTTGGAACAGCGTGAAAGTTTTCTCTCCCAGGACAACTTTTCACATTATGCCACAGTTCTACAGATCTGTGTATTGGTAGTCAAGGACAAATTGTCTGTGTTAACTGTTAGCAACCTTGCTTATTGCAAGATCATTCAGCTATGCTGTGTTCTGCTGGAAGATGAGACCAATCTCAGACAAAGTTTATTTTACTGTTCTTAAGTTTATGATGATTCTTCCTAGGCGTGGACTGTGATATTGATGTTCCAAAGACCATTCAGATGGTGAGATCACAACGGTCAGGAATGGTTCAGACAGAAGCACAGTACAGATTTATTTACATGGCAGTACAGCACTACATTGAAACGCTTCAGCGCAGAATTGAAGAAGAGCAGGTATGTTTGTCCTAAGTATAAAATGTTACATAGGAACACGTTATCATTTGAAGAGGGAGCAGAGTTGCTTGTTTGCTGCCCGTGACTTTTGGGGGCATGACTGCTGACTGCATAACCAATGCATCGTGAAAAGGCTGGGTCTGTAACCTGCTAACCCTGTTCAGAGAAGTTAGCATATATTTCAATTCGTTGTGCTTAAGAATTACTTCAGCTATTAGGTGGAATTAGAAAACTAAAATAAAGACTGTGTTTGGCCACTGGCAGAGGAAGAAAATCGGCAGGCTGAGAGGCTTCTCCCTGTGACTGCAGCTAGTGCTGCTTTACCTTCTGTAAAAATATTTGTATATATGGGATCCTGTCCCCGAGTCCCTGCGCCCCAGATCTCAAATTCCTTTCATATTATCTAGTTTTCTGTGCAAGAAGAATAAATGACAGGGCTCTGTTAGTTAATACAGAACCTCGTGCTCTGTTGAGCTTTGAAGAGATTTCCAACCTGTTAACTCTATTTCTACAGTATGATAATCAAATTCAAATGCTAGTAGCTCTGATATGTACAGTGTCCGTCAAAAAGCAGTTAGAGGAGTGATTTAGTGTGATGAGAAAAGTTTTGAAAAATGTGGCGACAACCACAATACCTTCACCTCACTCTTCCTGTTTAAGTACTTCATTGCACTCAAATTCTACAGTTTTTGCAGAAGTTGCCTCATTTTGTAAAAAAGAACGGACATTTTACTCACTGTTGCTTTCCTTCTCTACCCTAACCTCTGGTCATCTGGGATTTTTATCTTTTTATTTCAGGATTTCAGTATCTCTCCTTCTGCAGCTGGCTTCCAGCTCAGGAGGAGACAAACCCAGACAACAGCTGAGGCAGATGTGGGAGCTGCGTGGTTAGCGCAGTGCCGGGTGTGAGCTCTAATCCCTGGTTAGAAGTGGAGTGTGCCAGCTCGGGCTTGACACTCTTGTCTGGCTTCTGGCTGCTTTGGAGTGTGGAGGAGCTCATTTTATGTTTGCCTACATAATGTAGATGCACTGTTCAGCAGAGAGGATAGAGACTTTATTCCTCTTCCCAGGACAGCTGTTCTGTGCTCTGATGGTGATTACACACAAACTGAAGAACAAGAAATCCCTCAGGTGTACTTTTTTTCCTAGCTTTGTTGTCTCACTTCGCCTTAGAGCTGCCTCAGATCTCTGTGTGTGTAATTATGCAAGCCTTCTATGCTTGGCTTTTTGAATATGGTCTCTTTCTGCTGCTGCCGTTTACAAAGTAGATCTGTAACTCTCTCTTGATTGTTGTAATGGGTTTCGAATAGGATTTTGATATTGAGTGGAGCATCCTATACTGATGAGGCTTGGTTAGTTGTGTTGCATCCTCTGCCCCATTACTAGCTCAGAAGGCAGAGGTATAAAACTTTAAGAAGCTGAAAACAGAACATTGCTTTACCTCAGGAGGTCTTGACCTGTAACTAGGGCTAATGGCAGCTATAGGAATAAAACAATATAGAACTTCTCAGACAAAAGCAAAGCTTTGTGGTGACTATGGGAACTCACGTCCTGAAAAAAACACGGTGAATTGGGAATGCTTCAAAGTGTGTTTCGATAGAGCAGGAAGTAGAATACTGTGCAGAATGCTTGGGTTTCACCCCAGTGAGATAGTTTGGGAATGAAACGCTGTGTCTTGAGAAATTTTAACTTCCAGAACCTTCTTCTCTACGCTGGCTTTAATTGCAGTTGCAAACAGTGAAAGTTGGACAAAACCTGGTGAAGTCAATTAGGGCACCTTTCTCAGAAACAATATGAGGTCACGCTCCCTGTCTGCTTTCCAATCTGGGTAAACACAAGCCAGCTCTGATAAGAAACTGGGCAGTCACGTTTGCGAGCCTATTGTCGTGCAGGGCTTACAACCAGCTGGACTGGAGAAGTGGATATGCGAATAGCTGGATCCATTCACGTAGACATGCCTGCTTTTTGTTTGTATTGAGGAAAACATTTCCCTGCTCTGCTAGCGTTCCGTCTGGCATTGCAATGCTGAGACCCTCAAGGTAGAGTTGAGGGTTGTGTTAAATATTGCCTGTCTTCTTACAAGTGTAGAAGAAAAGCAAAGTGAGTTTGGTTTAGGGTTTGTGTTTGGGGGGATTTTGGGGTTTTGTTTTGTTTTGCCCTTTTTTTCCCTGTGCAAATGTGTATATTCTCTTAACATCTAGGAAACAAGTAGTTCTTACCACACTCAAGTTATTCTGAATTTGAAAGGATAATTACAGTGAATTAAGCAGAAGGAAGAGAAGGCAGATACCTACTTTTTCTTGTCTTGCTTTATCTGTTTCAGTCAGCTTAAGTAATAGTTAACAATTCTTTTTAAATTGCTTTTACTGTACAGTACATCTGTAAGTTGAACTGCCATTCATCGTGTAGTTTTGAGGGTGGGGGTGGAAATCAAGCTCTAGTTCTGGACTTCAGAATATTATTGGCAGGTGAGGGGTTTGTACCTGTAACACTGTAGCATGCTGCAGAGTTTGAAGCTTTGCATTTTATTTAAATCGGTGGAAATCAAGCTCTAGTTCTGGACTTCAGAATATTATTGGCAGGTGAGGGGTTTGTACCTGTAACACGCTGCAGAGTTTGAAGCTTTGCATTTCATTTAAATCTTTTTTTAGTGTTAACCTTCCAGGTAATTGATGTGGACTGGTGGTTGTCTATTTGAAAGTGCTTTGTCAGGAGTAAGTAGTTTGTCTTGAGAATGAAGCAAGCCATATCCCCTTTCTTTCCTAGTGTAGCTTTGCTTGCTGGAGCCTTCAGTATCTTTAGATGAATGCCAGCACAATTGGCTGCAGCTTGTAACATATGCTGCAGAATACAAATAACAGCTTGGGTTCTTTTTATATCAAACCTAATGGGCTAAGATGTTATTTTATTAGAGATCTTGCAAACAACATTGTTACTCATTTGGCCACATCTCCAAGCTGGAAATAAGGTCAGTGGGAAGCCCACTGGCTGATGCTGTCTATAAAAGAATGAAGTGTGGTTTCTTCTGCCAAGTAAGATGAAGATTGTGTATGAGTGCTGGTTCATGAGGTTGGTACGTTCTGCTGGAGATGGTGGTGGAAAGAGGAATATTGAAAAGTGAGGCTTTTCAGGTCTTGTAACAAATAGCTAACACCAGCCTTTAGGTCCTATCCATGTTGTGTGTGTTATCTACAGATTTGAGCTCTCTTCTGTTCATGGACAAACCTTTCTTGGAAAATCATACGTGGTCAGTTCTACGTGTAATTTCTGCACTACTTCAACAATTGCTTTCTGTTAGTAATTTAAAACCTGGCTTTTTGTTGTGTTTTGCTTCACAGAAGAGTAAGAGAAAAGGTCACGAATACACAAACATTAAATATTCTTTATCGGACCAGACAAGTGGGGATCAGAGCCCTCTTCCACCCTGTACCCCAACCCCAACATGTCCAGAGTAAGTTCACTTGTGTTGTCAGTGTGTAAGTTTTGAATCGTACTAACTAATCTTCAGGGACCTCGAATGAGGATGTTGCCCTCTGCTTTTGGGCAAAATAAATTTTCGCTGGATTATAGTGTGTACAAATGTGACTTTCTCAAACTAGATTCTTTGGACTGTAAGTATTTGTTTCATTTCAGAATGAGAGAAGATAGTGCTAGAGTATATGAAAATGTGGGGCTGATGCAACAGCAGAAAAGTTTCAGATGAGAAGATGTACAGAGACTTCCATGCAGAGGCAGGTATGTGTGGTCAGGAGTGAGTGTGCATATCCAGCCTGGAGTTGTGGGGTTTGGAGAAAATGTACATGAAACCAAACTATGAGAAGAACTGGGAAAGACTTCTTAATGCCCAAAATGCCTGTAATCTCTTCCCCTTAAGGCATTTAAATTCCAGAAGCTAATTTTGGTTGAGTTGCATCTATGGCTACCCTTTCAAACCAACGTGGAATATTAGCTTGGCAGTTTGGCCTTTGTTCTCATGCTCTGACTCACCGGTGACAGAAGTTGGAAGTCTTTATTCAGGAGTCTGAAATTCTGCGTGCTAGCGACAGATGAGTGGCAGCTACAGTCTGAGCTTTCCATGTCTTTTAAAAGTGATTTTTGCTCCTGGTTGATGATAAGGACTTGTGTGCATCTACAGAGATTCAAAGAACACTTCAGTTCATGCTCGGCTTCATAAAAGATGCGATGAGCAAAGTTACTGCTGTGCCTGTGTGGTGTGAGTAGTTGGTGTAGTATTGTTGTTGTACTAGTAAAAATTAAATCCTTGCTTTTGCAGGGAGAAAAATCTGTAGATTTTCTTCATTATGTTTTAAATAGCTGTTATAATTTGGTTCTTATATTCAGACAACTGAATATATATATAGGTTATTAGCTAATAAGTTTATCTGCTACTTAGGTTAATAGGCTGTGAATACAGCAAAGGAATACCTTTAGGTGTTCTTAGGCATTAACTTCTTTTGGATTCTAATCTAAAGCCTTTCGTCACCTTTCCCCTGTGTTTTCAGAGACCTCCAAAGTCTTATTTTCCCTTTTCCGTTTGGTAACTCTAAGTGCATTTCATCCATTTAGTCCAGGGACCTTCTCCAAGTTTATACACAATCTCATCTTCTACTGCCAATGTACCACACAGTTTATAAGCAAGGTTTGAGACTTTTGGTTGAGCTTAAGGCTTTCTTGAGTCAAAATTAAGCATTTCTGTACAATGTCAGAATAAGAAATAACTGCTGTTTTTTCCTAAATAATTTTTAATTTTCTTCTCCCTTCCTTTCCCAGAAATGAATATGGTTTTTAAAAAGGTCAAGAAAGAGGTGGAAGAAGCTTCACATGAACGGTGAACTCTGAGGGCTTGGTACCTTTTTATTTACGGTTTTAATCCTTCAACAGTAGGCAAAACTTAAGACCATCTAAAGATTGTTTATATCTCTTCTCTCCGATACCTGATTTACAATTGCTCATTTTCCAAATAAAAGGAAATCCTTTCTACAATGTAGACGACTACATTGTAGAGTCAGTTTTGAATCCTGCAAACTGTTGGACTGTCATCCATTTGTTTTTTAAATAGTGTTTTTGTTTCACAGTATGGCTATTAGTTGGGTTTTTTTCCTTATTTGAGCAGTTGTGGGATTTTATCTTTTTGG